GTAATTCAATGTAATAATAATTTGTATCAATTAAGTCTTTGTAAATCAATTTGTAATTTTGATCTCCAGTATATGTATGCTCTCTGGCTGATATCATGCACTTAATTTGTGTGCAGTTATTTTTGGGGCTTCTCCACCTTAAATTAGTCTTTTTTATGTACTGTTTAATGAAAGTTTGTTAAAAGAAATACTACCATTTTCAAGCCTAAGGCTTATTTGAAAATATTTTTTTCATCATGCATCATTCAAGCTTTAAGCTACAGTTACTGGACCACCCAAATCTATGTGTCCACATATCAATAATGCATGATATGAGTGTGTCCTCACAGGCGTACATGGATTATATCAGAGCCAGATCAATTGCCCGTCTCTGTTATGAATCCTCCATATTTTGCTTTCAGAGATGGCAAATCAAGCTCTTAAAATATTAGGTTAAAAGGACACTTAAAGGGATAGTTCACCAAAAATGAACATTTTAAACCATTTACTCACACTCAAGTAATTCTAAACTTTTATGATTGTTTTTTTTTTCTGTTGAACACAAAATAATATTGTGAAGAATGTTAGGAAGAAGACACCATTGACATCCATATTAGTGACAAAAACAGTTTGCTTTGTGTTCAACAGAATAAGAGTCTCAAACAGGTTGAGAACAAGTGAAGAGGGAGTAGGCTAAATCATGACAGAATTTTTTTGCTTGGGCATTTGTTGTGTTGTGTCTGTTGACTGATGAAGCGTTTGATTTGATGAAGGTGGTAAATTAGAGGATCAGTACTCAGGACTTTACTAGATTGATCCCACTGAGCAGCACTTAGCAGAAATTGATTGATTTTACACCTTATATTTCTACCTGCAGCTCACACATGAATGTTTGACTGTGTCTGCTTTTTGTTTATTATATGCTTGACATTAATTAGTTAAGGTACACTATAAAAAGCACTTAGTTACTTTAACCTATAACTAAACCTATTTCCTTAAAAATGAGAAGTTGATTTTATTTTTATTTTTATTTTTAGGTGAATAAAGCCATTGTAATTGTTAACTTAAAGGTATAGTTCACCCAAAAATGAAAGTTTACTCTCTGTTTGCTCACTGTCAAGCTTTTTCATTCCTTTATGTTTTTCCTTTTCCAAAATGAACATTTGTAAAACTATTAGAGAACTGTAACCATTGACTTCCCTAGTAGGAAAACCAAATGCTATGGTAGTCAATGGTTACAGGTTTTCAACATTTTTCAAAATAACTTTTTTTTGTGTTCGACAGAAAAAAAGAAAATCAAACAGGTTTGTATCAAGTGAAGGGCGAGCAAATGATGACAATGTTCAGTTTTGGGTGAACTATCCCTCTAACACAGTGGTTCCCATTTTTTTTTTTTTTTTTTTTTTTTTTTTTTTTGCTGTGTACACTCCTTTTTAATATTTGACACCTGTCAGGCACCCCTTTATCAGATTAAACTCCACATTTTTAACCACAATAACTAAATACACATTTTCTGTGTACATGATTAAAACAAAAATAATAAAATACGTGAATTTAATGGAAGAGCTTTTATGAAGCTCACAATTTTCACAGCATCATTAAATACAGACAAAAGTTTCTCATTTTGGCATATTTTTCATCGCTAGAGCTTCTTGGTGGATGCTGCAGTGCACCCAGGAAACCGATGGTGCAACTTTTTTGATGGAAGCTACTGCTCCTTTGTGCCTCCTTTTTTCTTCTTCTGCAGTTCCTCCAATCTTCCTTGAAAAAACAACAACTTACAGGCATGTCTTTTGAGTGGCTGTGTCTTGTTTGTAAGTGCCGGACCATATACGAGGGCTTAAGACTTAAAGAGGGCTTAAGACTAGTAGCTAAAACCTCACCACAGACTACACATTGTGGATTTAGATTTATTGCAACTCCAATCCATGTAAACCCGAAACCAATGGAACTGTCGCTATATTTAGTTTTCTTACTTGACATTTTCTCACTCTAGCGTAGGCCTAATTCAATTGTCTTCATCAGTACATCTTCGCTGGATTTCTCTGTTCCCGCCTGTGCCTCTTCACCTCATTCGTTATCCTCTGATTTCATATATTCAAGGCCGCTGCACATCACCTTAGAAGAGGCCGATGTAGATGGTTCATCCCTACTGTCACTTGACTTCTTTAAAGTGCCAGTTTTTAACCAGGTGTCCATTTTGATGAATATAGTAAGCGGAAAAAAAAAATTATGAATGTGCTATCACTTAGCACCAGGACTATTGTGATACAGACGTGGAACCTCCAGATGTAAATTATAATTTGTAATGTGATTTTTTTTTTTAATCTCTTGCTCATTGTATTTTTTTTCTTTTAAAATAGGACACGTAAATCACTTTTAAAGCAATTGGTTTACTCGCTTTTTTATTTTAAAGTAAAATCAACTAATTGCTTTTTTTATCTTGTATAGTACAACCTTTTTTATTATAATACTAATTATTAAGATTATTAATTATTATAATACGCTGTTGCTGTAATAAATATAAAAAAATAAACAAAGTATTATGTCTCAGATGTTTTTAGATTACTTTTAGAGCACATTATCTAATAGAAAAAATGTACAGTATAACATTGCTTATACTGCATGTGTCACTTTGTATAACTTGCTATAAAAGAAAGCACAACTGGTATATTGACAACACAATTATCTACTGTATGTAATGTTATGCAATAATTGTCTTTCATGACTAGGCCCACACTGAATTTGCGCTCGCAGAAATCCACAGATTTCTATAGATTTTTTTTGTGTCTGTTTATTTAGTTGTGTGTAAATGCATATAATTTGTATTTATTCGTTTTTTTATTTTTTATTAATTTCAGTAATGTTACTGAAAAATATGAAACAAATATGATTACTACAAATATGAAAACCTTTATAAGATTTACTCACAGTACAGTGTGTAAAGTAATACTCTTCTGTCTTGTAGTGTATATATATATATATAGCTTTGTTTACCAAAAACATGGATCTAATTGAACTGCATTGTAAACATTAAATAACAGTTTAAAATGTATAATTTTTATTTAACATATTAAGTGTTTAGTTATGATACACCCAAAATCATAATGCATAAATCGACAGATTTTTTTTTTCCATATTCTGTGCAGAAATAGCAAAAAATGCCTAAAGATTCTGTCTGGCCCTAGTCATGACTGTTGTATATACTTTTTTTGTTTGTTTGTTCAAATGTAAGAGTGTTTTCGTTGTTTGAACTTAATATAAATGATGCAACAATTATCATGCCATTAAAACTTGATATCATTACATGTCTATTATTTACTCTTGTGCAACAATCTATTTTGGAGCAAAAGGAGAAATTTAGTAAAATAGCCAACTTTATTTTTTGTCCCATGCAATAAACGTGAATGAGAAGCAGATTTTGCTCATAATTTCTCATTTTTATTTAAATTATTATAAATAATATAAGTGAAGTATTCTTATTATTCAAATATTTATTTATTTTTAAACACACATATTTAACAACAAATTAACATGGTACATAGCTACAAACATACTCATACCCCATAAAAAGGAAGAGGGAGAAACATAAAAATAAATAAATATGTTAAATAAATATATAGATAAATAAAAATAGATAAAACAGATTAGAAAATTAGTGGATAAACTCTCACTTAGGATATAATAACCCCTGAGCATTCAATGTAGGATAGGAAAGGCTGCTAAACCTCAAACTTTTTTTGTAGAGCCTTGCATGGGGTACGTAAGGTGCTCGACATTAAGATGTAATCACACTGCTAATATCCAGTTTGTGGGAAGGCGGGTTTGTTTCTTTAACCACCTGAGAAGAATCAGGCGTCTGGCCAATAAAGAAGAAAAGCAAATGATTTCTACGTGATTAGCTGACAGGTACATTTCTTTTGCCACTGTACCAAAAGTTGAGATCAAAGGATTATGATTCGTATCTTTATTACATATAGATGAAAATTATCTAAAAATATCAGTTCAAAATTTATGTAATTTAGGGCATCCTCACAACATACAGTTGAAGTCTGTTTATTTTTCTCCCCAATTTATGTTTAATGGGGAGAAGATTTTTTTCAACACATTTCTAAACATCAATATTTTTAATAACTCATTTCTAATAACTGATTTATTTTTATCTTTGCCAAGTTAGTATTTGGCAAGTTAGGGTAATTAGGCAAGTTATTGTATAATGATGGTTTGTTCTGTTGACTATCGGGAAAAAAAATAAATTAAAATAATATAATTAGCAATATTTAATAATAAGGGGCTAATAATTTTGTCCCTAAAATGGTTTTAAAAAATTTAAAAACTGCTTGTATTTTAGCTGAAATAAAACAAGTAAGACTTTCTCCAGTAGAAAAAATATTATCAGACATACTGTGAACATTTCCTAGCTCTGTTAAACATCATTTGGGAAATATATATATATATTTTTTAATAAAGCAGGGCTAATAATTCTGTCTTTAACTGTATGACTCAGATCTGACCCTGGATACATTTTTGCCAGCTTGCAAGTGAAGTATTGTTAATGTAGATATATTATATTGATTTACACAGTTTAAGTGCATTTATATTCCTTATAACCAGAAAGAATCAGCAGACATTTTTTTGCTATTTCTGTGCAGAATTTTGAATCAATAATCAATAACAAGTGATATTTTATTGTGAAAATCAAATAGAACAATTGCACATGCTAAAAGCTGCATTGCTTTTATTTGTAATTAAAAATGTGTAGTTGTATGTATTTTGGTTGGGGGGGATGGGGGGGGGGTTGTTTGCCACGGGATATTTTTTTTCCTATAGTGTACAGTGCAGGTTTTATTTAAAAGCTTTGCTAAAACTATCAATCTTGGCTGGATCAACAACTTTTATGGGAACACGATCAAATTTAAAATATCTGAGTACAAAGAAAGAGAAAAAAATACATCTGTGGAACCCCAGACTGAGCTGATATGTAAGCGCTATGTGTGTGTGTGTGTGTGTGTCTGTTTCAGACGAGTGCGGTGCTGTGTTCAGGTGGATGTGCTCTGCTGGCGGTCAGTTCCCTGCTGGCCATCATCACTATCTTCCTGCCCAGTGGAGCCTGTGAGCGGAGGATCTGCACACTGGCTGGATACATGCAGATGGCTGCAGGTCAGTGACCGGCTTACTATCTGACCTCTGATCAGCTGTTACACACCAGCACTTACACGGGACCATGCTGAGCATTATTACATGGCTGATCCTAGTCAGTACAACCCCTAATCTGAGCTTTAGACGAGATTGTCTGAGTCATACTGTACACAAAGCTTTCTGAATATCTGTCCTGGACTGGTAAAAGCCCAACATCTCTCTTTCACACACTTCACTTTGAAGAATAGCTTGCTTTTTGAGTGCACACAACAGCGGGATCTTCAGAAAGGAGCAGAAATCTTCTGTTTTTCTTTCTGATATCATGCGATACACTCTGGAGCTCTGCTAACTGCTTTAGGCGTCCCATCTGAATTCTGTTGTGTTGTTAAACATCACATTTAAAGTGTATTGTTCATTTTTTGGCAGGGCACAGGAGGAATGATATCATTTGATATGACTTGCTATGAAGCACTTGAGGCTCGGTTTAGGTTGTGTTTCAATTAGAATGGCAGAGATTCATGTTACGCCTTCATTAAATAACAAGACAGTTTATTGAAACACTTTTTTTTATTATTATTTCGTGTGAGGCAGTGGTGTAAAGTAACAAATTACAAACACTCAAATTACTGTAATCGAGTAGTTTTTCTCAGGAATATACTAAGTAGTTTTAAAAATGTGTACTTTTACTTTCCCTTGAGCGCATTTTTAGTGCTGCATTGGTACTTTTACTTCACTCTTTTCTTCAACCTCCAATCACAACTCCATTTTTGCTCGCCTATCGGGATTGGCTAAGTAGAAAAATCAGACCTGTGATTCTTGTCAAATCGAATCACAAATAGAAAGTAAATTGCATTATACTGAAGACATGGGTGGTTTTGTAAATGCAGCAAACTGTTTTGAAGCTATAAGAGCATTCAAGATGTCCAAAATCTTTACCCAGAGACTGTTTAGACCAGTGGTGTCCAAACTCCGTGTCCTGAAGAGTTTATCTCTAACTTGCTTTAACACACCTGCCAGGAAGTTCTAGTATCTAGTAAGAGCTTCATTAGCTGGTTCAGGTGTGTTTGAATAGGGTTGGGGCTAAACTCTTCAGGATACTGGCCTTCCAGGACAGTGTGGACACCCCTGGTTTAGACTGTATGTCACTGATGAGAAGATGATGGATGTTTACTGTATGATGACTAAAATCACCAAATGGACTTAAATTAAAAAAACTAAATGCAGTACAGAATGTTACGTTTACACATCCCTGCACAAATTTCATGTAGACGCAACTTTTCAAAGCAAAATACTCAATGGGCTACTTTTTACTCATACTTTGAGTAACAGTTTTTGGTTCGGTTATGGTACTTTTACTTGAGTATGGTGGGAGCAAATAACTTTTGGCTGAAATATGGTTTCCAATCTAACCTTCCAGCTTTAGGCATCCTGACCAAGTATTTGATCAAATGACAACAATGTAATCAATCTGAAAAAGTTTTTCATATGCTTTTGGGAAAGTTGTTAACAATATTTATACGAACCCACACTTTATTATTTATGCTAGGTCATTAACCTACTCACACCGAAAGCGGCAAGAGAGTCAAAGTAGCCGGAAGTCATTATTTTCAATGAGAGTTGGCGGCGAGGAGCAGCGCAGGGCGCTGAAAGAAGTCACTAAAGTTGAAATCAAGTCAACTTTATGGTAATGAGCTATGACGCGGTTCGGCGGCAAGCAATCACAATGAAGAAGTCCACCGCTTGAGAGGAGTCCAGAGAACACAGACCTGTGAACTTTGGTTCCAACCACACATGTTCCCAAGGGTTTGATTATTGCGGTTGCTTGATTTACAATGTTTTCTTACAGGAACATGCATTAAATAGGTTACTGGCGAGTTACTGGTGTGCATTAATGTTATATATATTTATCTTTAAAAAAAGCGGGAATCTCATGCAACAGTACAAAACAGTATTGCTGCTTCAGGATATTTCAGACATATAGACACATTGAATAATTAAGTAGAGCAAAGCCACACCACATGCAACTTGATCTTCCCTTTTTAAATGAATCTAATAAGAAGTGTGCAACATTTTCAAGCTAGAAAGCATGTTTTATGCAGAAATGTAACTGATATGCTGCAACAGCCCCTTTACATATGAGATCAATGTAGCGAATTCTGACGCTCTCTCAGACAGCGTTTTCGCCTGGGCGACCGGAGCAACCTTGGACGCTCTCACCGCTTTCGGTGTGAACGCACAGTTAGTTGGCAATGTCACTTAAAAAACAACACTACACATCTATGCACATATGGTCTGGTCTAATAGTCGTTGTTTTGTTTGTCAAGTACTTGCACATGTCTTAAATCTGAGCATGTAACATGCATCTGCATAATGTAGATTACATGGAGATGATAGTAATATTGTTTTTTGGGTTTTTTTTTTTTTTGGTGTGTTGTTGCATTTATTGTGATATGACAGTAGTTAAACAGGAAGTAAAGCTGGGAAGGCCCTTAAGAACCACTACTTTGTTTCGAGTTTGTGTATACGCAGTATTAATTTCTTTTCTCTCTTTCAATGACAAAAATTGAGTCATGGTGGAGCAGTGTGTAACACGATCATCTTACAGCAAGAAGGTCGCTGGTTCTAGCCCCAGCTGGGTCAGTTGGCATTTCTGTCTGGAGTTTGCATGTTTTCCTCGTGTTTGCTTGGGTTTCTGCAGGTGTTCCGGTTTCCCCACAGTCCAAAGACATGAGCTGCGTCCGAAACTACTACTTAGGTACTGCAGTAGGTACTGCATTCGAATTTAAGCGTACTACTTGGCCATTTAAAAAACTACATTCTATACAGTATGAATGTGAGCAAAATGAATGGAATTTTGATCACATGACCTACCCTCGCTTCACTCCCATTCATGAATTTTCTCTTGGGTTATCATGGGATAGCGCAGAGTGCGTGGGATGCACACTTCACAATCTCACCAAAAGTAGTAGGTCATCCGGGTACTTCTCGCATACTGATTTTAAAATTTTATGAATTCAGACACACTACTCACCTTACATACTGATTTTAGCATACTATATAGTATGGAAGTATGTGGTTTCGGACGCAGCCATGCAGTATATGTGAATTGAATAAGCTAAATTGGCTGTGGTGTATGTGTGTGAATGCAAGAGTCTATGGTTGTTTCCCAGTGATGGGTTGCAGCTGGAAAGGCATCTGCTGTGTAAAACATATGCTGGATAAGTTGGCGTTTTATTCCGCTGTGGCGATTAATAAAGGGACTAAACCGAAAAGAAAATGAACCAATGAATGAATGACAAATACAGACTATTTTCACCATCAACTATTTATGTCTATTGTAGTCTATAAGGTTTGTCAGATTTTTGGGCCAGTCAATGACAGTATGATTGCCAGATTGAACCAAAAAAAAGACTTGGCTCAGACTGACACCTTCAAGAAGCTGGGTTTTCTTACAAAAAAACCCATTATTCTACATGCCAAGCAAATACAATTCAGGATTTCAGTCGCTATTTCCCAGACATTTCCCACAGTATAAGCACTGTGATTATGCAGATATTTTGTGAACGTGGAGAATGTTGAACCTGAGCAGCCCATCCGTCTGAAAGCACTTTGTAGCCGAGCGCATCAATCACAAAAGCGAAATTAATAAATAAAGAAAGAAGTGTTTGCTCTCGACGCCGGTTGCCAGGCGACAGAATGTTGCGATGGCACGGCGAGGGCACTCAGAGATTTAGTGGCCACAGTAAAAGACAATTACAGCCCTTTAACACAGGTCAGCGGTTCAGGGGTCCACATGCTGGCCTTCGTTCAGCAGGCGGATACTTCAATAAACAATCCTACCATCCTACAAGCAAGCACTCAAGCTAAATAAATATTATGTTTATATGCCAGGGACGTGTATATATCGGGAGCATTGATTTCTAGTGTGCTCTTGATATTCTTGAGGCCTTGGAAGGTTTTATTGGATATGGGAATAGTGTACGTTTAAATGCTTGTTTTAATTGAACCGTTAGGCTCTGCATTACGGAGAAACCTTAAATAATTTGAACAGCAAGCGAATAAGTGGCTCACGTTGATATATTTCCCTGTTCTAATCAGGAAGTAATGATGTTTCCATAAAACTCCTGTAGTAATGGAGAATGCAAAAGGGCACAGACCATAACATTGATGTTCTCAGACCGTCATTTGAAGCATCTGTTTTTTCAAGCGTAAGACACTGGTAATCAACATCCATGCTGAAAGATGCCTTCTTTCCAACCTGACAATCCTGCAAACAAACATGCTGTGTGCTCAGAAACAACAGGCTTTCTGCAGGTTTTCATACTTCAAGTGTTCGCCGTATGGCTCCTTTGAAGAAAGTTTTCCTTCTCTTTTATTTTGGCTCTACTTGGAGGAAGTTTGAAAATTAATAATCCTTTAAAGTCAAAAGACGTGTTGCTGATGATTTTTTAAATATTTTATGGGCTGCTTTGCTTATTGGGAATCTTTCCCTCATCATTGCTTTTAAAGTGTGCGCTGATATCATTTTCTGCCAGTCAGACTGTCAAACCAAAATACACCCCAAAACAGATATAATTATAGCGCTCCGACTCAATGATTCTCATTCTGGGGTTGGTGTACCTCAGGGGGGATTTAAACAACTTGCAGGGGTTTTGAATTTGCTCCTAGGTTTTTTTCTGGAAAGGCTTGCACTCTTAACTGTTGTAACTTCACTCATTCATGCATTTTTCTTTTGGGTTAGTCTCTATTTCAGAGGTTGCCACAGCAGAATTAACCGCAAACTCTCCCCACACAGAAATGCCAACTGGCCCAGCTGGTACTTAAACCAGCGACCTTCTTGCTGTGCGGCAGCAGTGCTAACCACTGAGCCACTGTGCTGCCCTTGTTGGAACTTATGAAAGACAAAAAACTCTACTTCATGGAAATTTTTGAACTCTATCACATTGCAATTAGTAACTTTTTGATGTAGTGTCTAATTTGGTTGAATTTGTGCGATCTCATTTGTACAATTTCAAGAATTC